GTCTTTAATCTCAGCACTCGGGAGGCAGAGGCAGGCAGATATCTGTGAGTTCAAGGCCAGCCTGGTGCCTGGTCTACAAGAGCTAGTTCCAGGACAGGCACCAAAGCTACAGAGAAACCCTGTCTCAAAAAACAAAAACAAAAAAGAAAGAAAAGAAAAAAAGAAAAAGAGTGGCTCTGTTGAAGGAGAGGGTCACTTTACCCACCACTCCTGTCCCTGAGCTCCTTATATGAGTCCCCAAAGGGGCCTTAAACCTTCACTATACCCCAATCCTTCCCCTGTAGATGAAGAACAGGAGCTGCAAAAAGAAAACGCATCCGCCCAAGGCCATCAGGTTACAAAGTCGCCCACTCCCAGTTCAGAAGTCCCACTGCCCTGGCCACTCCCTTCTCCAGATCAGAGGCAGCCTTGCCCAGTGTGGTCCCTCACCCACAGGGAAGCCCCTCAGACTCTGACGTCTGAGTAACTCGCTATCCCTGCCTCGCTTAAAGCTGAACCATGACTGCCCTCCAGTGGCCATCAGGAAACTTCCTGCGGTGCAGGGTGTGCCCTGAAATCAGCTGTGCCCACACCAACATCCCCACCCCACCCCACCCCCACCCACGCAGGGATCAAATCTCTGTGACGGACAGCGCCACTTGGTGACGGTTTCTTTAAACTGCACTGCGTCCATATCCCACCCACGGTTGGTTCAGCCTCTCTTTACTATGAACAGTCCCGGCTTCGCTGTCTTTCTACCTGATGGGCCCATGCAACACGGAGTTAAATTTTAAATTTAAATTTTTTATTTTTTTTAACTTCCTTTTTTTTTATTTTTCCATTCAAAAATTTATACTTCCTCCCCTCCTGCCATTCCCCCCCCACTCCCCCCCTCCCCCTCCTCCCTCCCCCTCCCTCCTTAAGAGAGGGCAGGGAATCCTGCCCTGTGGGAAGTCCAAGGCCCTCCCCACTCCATCCAGGCCTAGGAAGGTGTGCATCCAAATAGACTGGGGTCCCAAAAAACCAGTTACATGCAGTAGAAACAGGTGCCAGTGCCATTATCGATGGCTTCTCAATCCACCCCCATTGGCAGCCACATTTAAAACTCTAAGAATCAAAACAAGTTGAAGTTTCCAATGCCACCAGAATGCAAGTTAAGTTCTGTAACCAGAAAGAAAATCAAACAGAAATCCTGTGGAGGGGCAAGGCGTACGATGAAAATGGCCCAGATGGCCAGTCTGAACTCTTGTGGGGACAGAGCAATAAAGCAGACAGCTGGAATTCCACGCCCTACTGGAGTGTTGAAGGGTCTCTTTTTCCATCTGTGTGAAAACCAGAAGCAGGGAGCAGGGTGTGGCGGCTCATGGACTCACGCCTGTAATCCCAACACTTGGAACGAGGGAAAACAAGGATCAGGAATTTCAGGCTACAAGCTTCGACTGTCTCAAAACCAAAAACAAGCAAAAAGCCAAAAGAGGCAGGGATGGGCCACTCTGGACTCTGTGCAAAGCCTCTGGCCTAAATAATAGCAAGATGTTTGTGTCTGGTTTCTTCCCTAATGAGGACCAGGGTCTTCTCAGGCACAAGTCATCTTGTTCAGCTAGGCTCCTCCAAAGGTATGGTAGGAATTTGGGGTTTGAGTTTTAGTTTATTGTTAAAAAGACTGGGTTTTTTTTTAAGAGGTACAATCTCCTTAGATAGCCCAGGTGGGTCTCAAAACCATGATCACCTTGCCTCGACCTCCCAAGTTCTGGGGGTCACAGGCGTGCACCACTCTCTCTGGCTACAGAAGTTAAAGAGTAGGTGCCAGTCGAACTCATAGAGATAAGGAACCAACAGACCACTGGTGGGGGGTCTGAGGTAGGACCGGATCTCATTAGAGCATCTTTTGATGAGAGGCTGGAACAAGAGACAGATACTTCAGGCTGCAATTCTGGAAAGGAGGGGCGATTTAGTGAACAGTTTTTCAGGTGAGATTTGTTTGGCATGTGGATAATAATAATAATAATAATAATAATAAAAGTTGCTGGTCTTTTCCCATCCGGGAAGTGAGCTGAGGTTAGTAAAACAGTGGGAGAGCGATGGGGTGTGTTGGCAAAGACAGAGAAATACTATGTCAAGAATATTCAATACTGATAAACTATAGCTATGTAGGAGGGTGGGGTACCCTCAAAGACGAATCAGCAAGAGAAAAATCAAAGCCCAATCTGAAGCCTTTTAGAAAACAGATCTCAGGGATATTAGTAGTCAACGAGCGGGGTCAACTCAAACCCTGTTCACTAAGGTTTCATCATGAAAACTGAGAGAAGTAAAGGATTTATTTCAACCGGTCAGCTCCAGGCGGTTTGGGTGACCACACAGTTTCCTGTATTGGTTTGACCCCTTTTCTCCTACCGAGAAGAAATCCTGAAGCTCTTGCTCACATCCTGCCAAACATCCCACAGGTTTCATTCCAACCGCCGTCAAAGCGTTGGATTACTTTCTGGTCAGTTGGCAAGAGGCATGGTCCCAGTCCTCCTGGGTGCTGACCCATGGCTGCCTTCACCCCTTCCTGTGAGTCCCGAACATCCCCACACCCAACACCACCAACCAATGGGAAGCCTGGGGCAGCCGCGTCCTTGGAATGTGTTGGTTTTGATTGGCCAGTGTCCCTCTTGGAAGTTACAATTATCAGAATTGGAAGATCTGAATCCAGAACGTTACTGATTTTGATTCCTGTTTGGGACTTCTTGGACTAAATTCTTGGGCTGTTAAATGTTGAGATGCTTTCGTACCAGAATATACTGAACAGTCACACAGCACAGGGGTAGTTTGCATGAAGAGGCAAACACAGACTGTTTCATCTCCTGGCTTTATGGAGGCAAGTAAATAGAAACTTGGTTTGTTCGTAACTTGGGGTGAGGACTCATGTGCTTTTGGCTAGAGGTCATCAGAAGTCGTTGCTCTAGGGGGGTCTTGGGGTGGTGGCATCATGTCACCCCATGACATGGCATCACTGTAAACCCTGTGAGAACAGTGAAGCCAGGGAGAGGTCACCATTTTTCCTCACTATTGGTCTCCTCCCTCTAATTTGCACGAAAACTCTTTCCTACCCAAAAAATAGCTTCTGGTTTATTTGGATTTGAATCCCATGACCTAGGGATTCAAACGACTTTTGCCACTGTGTTAATAATGCTGTCAGATTCGTTCCCCTCAATCACATAGTAATCCTGGTCACTCAGGAGGGTCATGGGAGGCTCTAGTAGAGTCTACCACCAGCATTTCTCTTCTATCTCTATTTTTTTCACACCTGTCCAAAGATAAGTGTGACCCCAGGTCCTATTCCTACCCAGGAGATCACCTTGGGGCCTTTAAAATCCCTACGTCTGGGATTGGGGAACTTGGCTCTGTTATCTGGGTCTTGCGAGCATAAAGACCTAAATTTGATCACCAGGGTCCACCTAGAAAATCTGGGCAAGATAGGACACCTGGAAATCACAGTATTTGGGAGGTGAAGACAGGCAGACCCCTAGGGCTCATGGGCAAGGGCCCAATCTACTTAATAGGCTCCAAGCCAGTGAGAGACTTTGGCTCAATCAATCAATCAATCAGTCAGTCAATCGATCAATAAAAATAAGAGACAGAGAAAGCCCGACTCCCAGAGACTGACTTAGCCAGTCTGGGAGCTCCTGGTGACCCCCTGACCAGTGAGAGACTTTGGCTCAATCAATCAATCAATCAATCAGTCAATCGATCAATAAAAATAAGAGACAGAGAAAGCCCGATTCCCAGAGACTGACTTAGCTGGTTTGGGAGCTCCTGGCGACCCCCTGAGCAACCACTGTAGAAAGCATCACTAACCAAATGGTAATTGAGACCCTATCACGGTGATGCCGACTCTGCTCCTTTCATATCACTGATGAAAACAACCTATTTTCCAGGACTGACCATTGGAGCCTGCTGCAGCCTGGCTCAGGTGAAGGACATCTTGGCTGAGAGCATCTCTGAGCTCCCGGAGGAGAAAACTCAGACCTACCGAGCTCTCCTGAAACACCTTCGGAGCCTGGCGGGGCAGCAGATCCGGAACATGGCGGTGGGTTTCCTGCCGTCCATCACTGGGCACACACTTGTTGCTACTTCTCACAGAGATGTCAGGATAAGCACAGGCAGAAGTAGCATACCAAATAGGTCAAAACAACAGGCCAACTGACAAATATTTTTAAATTAACAAATAATAGTTAGTGAAATGTTCAGTAAAATTCTAGATGAAATTCAACACAATAACTAAGCCACGAAGAGCATCATAGCTTTGCTAATTTTTTGACAAGCCTACCAAAAAGTCTGATTTTATCTTAGGCTCTATTAACAGAAGTCTAGTACCTAAAGCAAGCCGGGCAACCTTTTACTTTGTGCTAATGAAACCACAGCTGGAGAACACTGTCATAAGGAGGGAAACGAGACATGGCTGGTTTTCCAAACACACATACGTGTCATGTTGAGCAGTGTAGTGGACATCCTTGCAACCTGGGGAGTCTGCGGAGAACCTTGTCTTTGTGAAAACTCTCAAGATATTCCAGATGACCATGCTCACGAGAGCCTACCAAGGAGAGGGCAACAGTTGCATTTAGGAGTTGGAAGCAGAACCCAAGGAGTGGTGGGGATCAGACAATGCAAGTCTAAAAGTTGCCTTCCAATATTCATGGATCCCTGAGTATTGATGGTGGCCAAGACTCCTCTTGAGTCTTCCAACACCGTCAGAGGATCATAGGCAGATGTCTATACAAAAGGTAGAAGACCTGAGACACTAACCAAGCTGTCATTCTCTCTCCTCAGACCTTAGGTGGACACGTGATAAGCCGGCATTGCTACTCAGACCTGAATCCTATTCTCTCTGTGGGCAAAGCCGCACTCAACCTGCTGTCAGAAGGTAAGCTATGTTCTGAGCAGTTTTTAGAGAGCTTTTTGTCTCTTTTCATTACACTTTTTGGGTTTTATTTATGTGGTTGTTGTTTTTCGAACAAGGTTTCTCTGTAGCTTTGGAGCCTGTCCTGGAACTAGCTCTTGTAGACCACGCTGACCTTGAACTCACAGAGATCTGCTTGCCTCTGCCTCCCGAGTGCTGGGATTAAAGGCGTGTGCCACCACCGCCTGGCTACAATTTTACATTTTCTTAAAGAATTTCATTGAGTAGTAGCCTGGAGCATAGACTCCCAGTTCACAGTGGGGAGTTCCTGCCATGAAGAAAATACATTGTAACAACAGGCAGAGGTGCTCCCTGTTGAACACACACACATGCACGCACCCACGCATGCATGACCATATGCTCAAAGTTCATGTGTTAGTTCTGTGTTCTTGCTTGAACAGGGGTGACAAACAAGAGCTGACTTGAGTATAGAGTTTCAGAGTTCTGGTGAGATGGCTCAGAGGTTAGAACCGTCTGAGGGCCAGAGCTCGGTCCCTAGCACCCGCACTAGGTGACTCATAACTACCTACAACTCTGGTCCCTGGGAGACTCAACATCTCTAGCTTCTGTGGAGACCAGCACTCACAGCACAGACCCACAGAGATGTTATATATAATTTTTAAAAATAAAAACCAATCTTCTAAAGAAAAGAGGATGTGATCGGAAAATATGGCTCCACAGTTAAGAGCATGTCCTGCTGTGGTGAAGGGCCTGAGTTTGCTTCCCAGCACCCATGTTGGACAGCTCACAACCGCCTGTAACCCCAACTCCAGAATCGGAACCCCCTGGTCACCAACATTCACATGAATATAACCACATATAGATACCTGTACATAACTAAATATAATTAAAAAAATAAATCTTTTTGAAAAGAGAGTGGGGGTTGAGCGTGGTGGCACACACGTTTAATCCCAGCACTCAGGAGGCAGGGGCAGCAGGATCTTTGTGAGTTCTAGGCCAGCCTAGTCTACATAGGGAGTTCCAAGGACTGTGTAGAGAAACCCTGCCTTGAGGGTGGACACACTAAAGGGGGACCCAGCCTGTTGCAGAGGGTGTGTTTCTATAGCCTAAGGGAGCAAGGCTCTTGCCTTCAATCTACATCCAATCTGAGCGCGCCCACACACCCCCACCACCCTCTATAGCATTCTTCTTCAAACACACACAGAAAGCCAAGTACCCACATGCGGAGCGAAAGCCGTGACTCATTTTAACTACTGACCGAATGGAGCCTTTCCTTACAGTAGCTCCCTGCTAACCCACCTACCCTGTTCCCCCAGACCTCTGTGCCCTCACGGCGCTTTGGTCTGTCCCACAAGTTCTAACACCCCTGTGGCAAGAGGCTGAACATTTGCCAGGCTGTCGGGCACTTCACACCCTTCATCCCCAAGCTGTTTAAGCGCTTGCCAAGCTGCCCCTACCATTTGTCCAGAAAATGATGGGGCGCCAGCTTAGCGGGTCTGTGATACTAAAACCAAAGGTGGGTGGTTGATCAACATTTCTTTTCTCGTGGCTTTGTAGGCTAGAAACTCCAATGTCACATGATATAATATAGCGACAGCCTTATCCTGTCATTTTGTAACAGAAGGCAGAAATGCAAGAAAGGATGAAGGGGAGACAAAGCTCTCCTTTGTTATAGCGCCAATCTCTGCTCTGACGGTCTCAGACCAGGGATCCATCTCAGGCCAGGACCTGTGCATGTTAGGCAAGGGTTCGACCACAGCGCACCCAGCTAGCTCTGAATATTGTTACAGTGGCTGCTAAATTCCATTAACTAAATAAGACGTTTTACGTGCTGTCTCTTTATTGTTTGCCATGCACAAATGGACAACCTACCAGAGCCAGTTCTTTCCTTCCACCAGCGGTGTCCGAGGGACTAAATCCCAGTTATCAGGTTCGGCTGCAAGTGCCTTTTCCCACTAAGCCATCTTCCTGGCCCTGAGTTTTGTAGGAGATGAGCGAGCACTCAAACCTTAGCAGATGGGGAGCTTCTGTCCGTCTGGTTTCCATTCCCAATCTCCCCTGGTCACCTGTCCTATCTCCGGGGCTCCCAGCTCTAACATACCCCTCCTCTTCCCTCTGGACTACCTGACCACTCATCCAATGCTTCACCTCTGTCCCTCCTACCCCTCAGGAGATCTGGCTCACTGCTACCTCCCAGGTGCAGGGATGCAGAAGCAGCAGATACACCTCTGCAGCTGTGGAGTTCCGGGCTCCCTGCATGTTTGATGCTGTCACTCACAGCTGGGAGTTCAGAGGGGGTGGGGAAAGACTTAGGGGACGAGAAGCCGGCCAAGGGCCTTCACTTGAAGACTGTTAGGAGGGAGGGCACAGAAGATTAAGGATGCTGGCTCATCCAGGCTTTCCTCTGAGGTCGCTGGGCCTGTAGTTTGGGATGACCCCAGTTTAACCCACAAAACGGTCAAAAAGACGAGACTCTGGGGACACCAGCTTGGTGAGGTCTCTGCCCAGGGCCTTCTGCTCTCGTTCTACTGGATGTTTGTAGTTAACTGTTGGTTAACAGTTTCTGCTCTCCCAACTCTGCCAGAGTTATCGCAGACCTCCGTCACTCCAGGGGTCTCAACTCACTGGCATAGCAGCGAGACAAGTGGACAGTGATCAGCAGGGTTTTCCACCCAGTTACGACAGTACTGGCGCTCCAACCAACACAGTGCCAGTTGTGCAGAGGTGGTGGGGGGCGGCGGGGGGAGATGCAGGGTGGAAATAGAACTCAAGCCATCCCTCGGCTATAGTTTGATCTCTTCAGAGCACATCCTATATCCTAAAACATGCAATCCATAGGTTAAAGCCACAGAGGATAGTGCTGTGGTCCCAAAGGGTGATGAGCTGAGCCCAGGGCAGATTTGACAAGCTGTTTACTTTAAAGGTGTGTCTGTGTCGGGAACACAAAACTGCTGGCGAGCGTGATCTGAACTCTGCTAGCAGCAAAAGTAAATCCAGTGCTAGCTTAAGTCACACCGCAGCCTTGACCTTCCGCTTACGGTTCGCTTACCTAGCGAGCCTCGGCTGAAGGATGAAAACCCACAGGGGTGGCAGGCACGGCATGGAGCGTTGATGCAAGTGCCGGGCACCGTGGAGGAAAAGGGGATGCCTTGGCAGAGTCACAGACTCAGACCTCTGCGTCTGTCACTCAGAGCAGAGGGCACACATCTCCGCTGGCAGCCAGCCCCCGAAAGCACAGATCCGGCTTGCTTTCCTCGTGACCGCAGAAATGCCGTTTCTTTCCACAGAAGGTGCGCGGCAGATTCCCCTCGATGGATCTTTTCTTGCTGGGTCGGCGAGTGCGGACCTGAAACCAGAGGAGATTTTGGCTTCTGTGTACATCCCTCACTCTCGAAAGGTAGGAAACCGGCTGGTTTGTTTCTCCCGGTCAGACTGGAGTCCAGTCACCCCTAATGTCTGAAGACAGGTGAAAGGAAAGCAATGGTGTCCCCGAAACTGTTTCCTGACCCTCCGCAACTGGTTCAGTCACAAGCCTCTGGGACTGTCCTGAACAAGTGGCTCCAGGGCATGGGTTTTGGTGGTGGCTCCAGCTGTCGGGTGTGACTGGCAGAAGGCCTGTGGTCACGCTCCCCACGAGCAAAGGCTGAAGATGGAGCTTCTCCACCTGACACACAGGAAGCTGGAGTCCTAGCTTGGCTTTCCCACCCCCGAATTCCTGCCAACCCCAACAGCTCTACAGAGACACGTGGCCCACAGATGTTCCCTGACTCAACATACTGGGTTTCTTTGGCCACCTGGCCAGCTGTGGAGGTGGCCTAATGCCCTCACTCTGTTCCTTAGGCTTTTCTCCAAAGCTGTGCTTGACTCCAGAGAAGTGCTAAAACCACACACATGCACACACACACACACACACACACGCACACGCACGCATGCACACACACACACGCACACACACGCATACACACACGCACACATACGAGCGCGCAAACATATGCACACACATGCATACACATGCATACACATGCACACATGCACACACAAAGCAGTGGCAGGTCATAATGAAATTTTAAGTTACGTCCCAGTTACGGATGATCTTTGGTAGGCCCTCCCTTCGGAACAGAAACTTTGACATGCCTTCCCATCCAAAAGTGCAAAGGCAGAAGCTAGAAAACTGGTATAGCATTGGGCTAGAGAGAAGGCTCAGCAGCTGAGAGCACTTGCTGCTCTTGCAGAGGACCGAGGTTCAATTCCTAGCACCCACGTGGATTCTCACAACCACCTGTAACTTTAGTTCCAGGGGATCTGACAGCCTTTCCTCACCTTTGTGGGAACCTGGCACACACATGACACACAGACATCCCTGTGGCAAACCACCCGTGCACATAAAGACAAACAAATAATACATAAGGTGTTCTGTCAAAAAGAAAAATGAAACATTGAGCGTGAGGAGCTTGGAGGCAGCTTTTACCAACTGGGGAAGTGATCATTTCAATAAGGAAATGAAGCAGGGTTTGAGCCGAAAAGTTTCTGTCTGCAGAAGTTTCCTCCATCCTCTCTGAGACAAAGAACCCAAAGACTGGAGAACACCAACAACAAGGCCTCTCGGTGGCTTCCACAGTTTCCTCAACAGAGCTCTGGTGGCCTCCACTAGACCATGGTCCTTGGAGATATCAGTGGCCACCAGCATGGACTTTTAGAAGGACGCCATTATCACTATTGGGGATAGAAAACGGCTCGGCAGCTGCTGTTTGCTGTTCCTCCAGAGGACCTGGGCTCAGATCCCATAACACACACACACACACACACACATACACACACACACACACACACACACGTCAGCTCACAATCACCTATAGTTCCAGGTCCAAGAGATTCAGCACCCTCTTCTGGCTTCCAAGCGCAATGCATATATGCAAACACTCATACACATAAACAAAATAAAATTTTTTATCTTATAGATTTATTTATTTTATGGGTGTGTGTCTCCTGCATTTAGGTACATTCACCATGTGAGTGTTTGGTGCCCTAAGAGATTGGAAAAAGGTGTCAGATCCTCTGGAAGTGGCATTACAGACTGTTGTGAGCTGTCGTGTGGGTGCTGGGAACCAAACCCAGGTCCTCTGGGAGGGCAGCAAGTGCTCTTAATTGCTGACCCTCCTCTCCAGCCCCAACAACTTTTTTTTTCTTGATTTTCAAGACAGGGTTTCTCTGTAGTTTTTGGTGCCTGTCCTGGAACTAGCTCTTGTAGACCAGGCTGGCCTCGAACTCACAGAGATCTGACTGCCTCTGCCTCCCGAGTCCTGGGATTAAAGGCGTGCACCACCACTGCCCGGCCAACTTTTTTTTTTTCAAGACAGGAATTTTTTGTGTGTGGTCTTGGCTATCCTGGAACTCACTCTGCAGACCAGGCTGACTTTGAACTCACTGAGATCCACCTGCCTATGCTTCCCAAGTGATGGGATTAAAGGCATGTGCCACACACCCGGCTCCAACTTTTTCTTTTTAAGGGTATCTGGAGATACTGCTCAGTTAAGAACACTTACTGCATTTACAGAGGACCTGGGTTCTGTTCCCAGCACCTACACAGGGCACATTGCTGTCTGTAACTCCAGCTCTGAGACCTTGCATGCCCTCCTCTGGCCTCCAAGGGTTCCTAGACACATGCGGAACAAATAACTCACACAGGCTCATATACAAAAATAAAACTATAAATAAATGAATCTTTTTTAAAAACATCATTCTCACTCTGCAAGAAGGCAGCCCAAGCGTCTCCCATTTAGCCAACTGCCCTCTGTGTCCCATTACATCCATCTAAGTGATTAATTAGTTAGAGGCACCAAGAGGGAACCCAACTCTTTATTCTGACATATCCGATGCGCCTGAACGGCTTCTGTCTCCACAGTGGGAGTTTGTGTCTGCTTTCCGGCAGGCCCAATGCCATCACAACGCTTTGCCCGACGTGAATGCTGGCATGAGAGTCCTGTTCAGTGAGGGCACAGACACCATCGAGGACCTGAGCATCGCCTTCGGCGGAGTGGGGCCCGCCACCGTCAGTGCACACCGATCCTGCCAGCAGCTCCTTGGCAGGTCAGTGATGAGCATTGTGCTTTAGAGGGAGCCTTGACGATGGGAAAAGCAAAACTGACCCTGACAGTTGTTGATAAAGCCCTGGAATGATGGAAACTCAAACTTGTTGGGGGAAAAAAATCACTGCTTGTTCCTTCTTTAATTTTGTTGAATTAATTGTGATTGGATGTTTCTCTCCTGCCCACCTGTTCCCAAATACCTGGCAGCTATTTCCCAAATAATTGACCCAGAGGTTTATATAAATTATAAATACTTGGCCAATAACTCAGGTTTATTACTAACTAGCTCTTACTTTTTGGGTTTTTTGTTTGTTTTTGTTGTTTTTTTCGAGACAGGGTTTCTCTGTAGCTTTGGAGCCTGTCCTGGAACTAGCTCCTATAGTCCAGGCTGGCTTTGAACTCACAGAGATCCACTTGCCTCTGCCTCCCGAGTGCTGGGATTAAAGGTGTGAGCCACCACTGCCTAGCTAGCTCTTACTTTTAAATTAATTCATATTCCTTATTTACACTCAACCACATGGCAGTACCTTTATTACCATGGCACATTCATCTCCTGTTCCCTCTGCGTCTGGCTGGAAACCCCTGACTCCACCCTTTCCATCATTCTAAATTTGATCACCCTGCCTGTACTGCCTGCCTGGCTACTGGCCGATCAGGGTTTTATTAAACCAATTCAAGTGACAAATCTTTGCAGTGTAACAAGAGGATTATTCCACAGCAATTAATCCTGCGTTATTTGGCTCCAATTATGCCACTTTTTTGGTGAGAGACACAAAAATGGCCCAGGCCTGAGTCCAACCAGCAGGTGATGTTTTTCTCATACGGGTCCCCTTTCCACCTGCAAATGAACACTCAGCAGTGCTCTCCAAGTAGCGCCTATTCTGTTCTAGAATATTCTGATTCTAGAATGCGCTTGTAGTGGGGAAGGTTCTTTTCTCACCCAGCTACGCTTCTCGTGCCGCTTGGAGCAGATTCCCGGGCTTTAATTTTTCCAAAGACTTTGTTAACACGATTTCTAAGAGAAATCCTGGGGACTCTAAAATGTCCATTTTGGTGCAATTAGACTGCCCTTTAACCGGTCCTTCTCGGCTCCCACGGTACCAGGCACTGGAATGCGCTCCTGCTAGATGAGGCTTGCAGGCACCTTCTGGAAGAAGTCTCCCTCCCGGGCTCAGCTCTAGGGGGCAAAGTGGAGTTCAAGAGGACTCTGATGGTCAGCTTCCTCTTCAAGTTCTACCTGGAGGTTCTGCAGGGACTGAGGAGAAAACTAAAGCTGTCCTCGGAGTCGGCCGTAAGTGCGGTGGGGGACAGTGACGACCGTCCTCTCGCGAGGTCATGGGCTCACAGTTCTGCCGCCAGAAGGCCTCGCCCAAGGTGCCATCGGGAGGCAGGGTGAGGTCTCCTGACTCACCCCTGTGATCCCAGCGCACAGGAGGCTGAGTCAGGGAGGTCGCAGTGAGTTCAAGGCTTGCCCGAGCTACAGAGGGAGACCTGTCTCATTCAATAATAAACTAGAAAAGAGAGGCACCGTCAGAGTTGCTTCCTCCTGAGCGCTGTGAGGCCCTATTCTGCACCTTGCACGTGGCTTCTAGTGGCACGGCCTAGCTTCTGCTGGCTTGCCGGTGACCTTTACACAGAGCTGCCCCTGTGTGCGTGTTTAGGCCCAAACTTCTCCTTCCAAGAGGACGCCAGTCATAATGGCAGCCAATTCTAATTCTTTACCCCCATAGTCATATCCCACCCTGTTTGGAGAGGTCACACTCTGAGTTTCTGGAGGTTTGGATTTCAACATAGCGATCCAGGGACATGAAATTCAAACCATAATACTGGCTTCTCTCAGCTTCTTGCTGCCAGGAGTTCCTAGCTTTGCGGCTGCTTGTGCCAATTATCCTGTGGGGAGCCTGTTATCATTGTCTAGAAGCCCTTGATCTGGGGTAGCCTTTGTCAGCCTGGCCCCAACGGAACTGATAAACCACCGTCAGCTCTCAGTGTTTATTGTGCCCCCCCCACAGAAACGCTACATAGTATCTGTCTCCACTCTTTTTATTTTTTTTCTCTTAAAATAAACTTTATTGAGGCATAATTTATAGTAAGACAGGAGACAATAAATTATAATGTTACCCACCTGTTTTAACTTAGCACGCAAATGTCTACCTTTGGCAACACCAATGCTAACGAAATGAGCACGTTTTCATCACCCCAAAGAACCCCCTCACCCCCTCTGTGTCCTCCTCCCCGCCCCGTCTGGACAAACACTGGTCTGCTTTGTGGACCTGAGGCTTCAATGTGCTTCGTCTAGAATTTCGCAATCAAGGTGAAATGTGACGTCAAATTTTTATGCTTCAAAATGTCAAAAACTGATATAGATAGATAGATAGATACCTAGACAGCTTTCTAGATTTTCTGGTTACAACCTTCCAGAAGAAGTTACAATATTTACTGTCACACCTGTTCTCCCTGCCTTGTCCTCCCAGTCCCAACCCTTCCCCCACCACGAGCACAGGTCTCACCCTTCCCTATACTCTGTTCCTCAGCCACCCCTGCCCCAGGGTCACTATTCCCAGCCCCTGAATTTCAGAGGGAGACCTGCACTTTGTTTCTCAGACAGGGTACCAGAGCAGTCTTCCCGCCTCAGAAAAAAAAGATCCTGGAACAAAAACATTCAGATTTTTTTTTCATTTTGTGAACTATAGCTTCAAACTTATTCTGGGATGGCTTATCCAGCCTACACACACACACACACACACACACACACACACACACACCATCACCACCACCACCTTCTAACTCACTGGTAGACCTTACACACACACACACACACACACACACACACACACACACCACCTCTGAACTCATTGGCAGCCCTTTCTGTCCAGGGACGTGAAGATCAGATTCAAACCAATCAGTCATCCAAGCTCTGGCTTGGATAGGGGGTGAGGGGGCATCAGGGTCATAAAACGTGAAACCCTGGGGGTGAAGGGTAACTATGCCACCCCTCGGTACATTAGGCGCCATCCCACATAATCCAAACCCAGCTCGATCCAGACTGACCAGTGTGTCTCACTGTGCCGAGTCTTTCCAGGACAGCCAGCGTTCTCCAGTGATTGCAGACCGGTTCCTGAGTGCTCTGGAAGATTTCCAGGTCACACTACCCCAGGGAGTCCAAACATACCAGGTCAGTGCCTTTGAGTTCACTGAAACCCACACCGAGAGAGATAAGATGGTAAGAAATCGCTATTCACAGGGAGGGTTTTCAGTTCTCTCTAGGTGTTCCTAGTCAGGCGCCTCTGAACCTGGCGCTGGAGGAGCACAGGGCGCCACCAGAGGGATTCGTGGGCAGTCATCATCTCTTTATTTTTTATTTTTTTTTTAAAAAAAAACAAAACAGTGAAACTAATGTTGACTCCCATAGGACATCTGCTAGTGTCTGGAGGGTTTTTTTTTATGGTTTATTTAACTTTATTTTATGTGCATTGGTGTGAAGTGTCAGATCCCCTGGAACTGGATCTTCAGACAGTTGTGAGCTGCCATGTCGGTGCTGGGAATTGAACCCGGGTCCTCTGGAAGAGCAGTCAGTGCTCTTAACCACTGAGCCATCTCTCCAGCCCCTCATCATCTCTTTAAAGAGTTATTCTGCTGGACTTTGTTTAGTGCCTACCAGAGCCCAGGAGCTCCATCTCTAGCCGGAATTGCAAATGTTTAATCTCGAGTCAGTAAATAAGAGACCTGTGAGTGTCTAAGTTCGCCCTTCTGGAAGGAGGACAGCTTAGAAATGAGCTGTTCTTGCTGGTACATAGCCCTCCCCACCCTACGCGCACACACACACACACACACACACACACACACACACACACACCCCACTGAATGAAAAAAAGTAAATAAAGTCAAGACACTCAAAAATGTGGTTGAGGAGAAGGTTCACTGTAGCTATGAGGGAGACCTCAGCCAGAGACATCTGGAAACATCCAAACTGAACCAGGCTATGGGAGTGGAGGGGGGAGTACTCAGAGAGAAGTGGAGGGCTGAGGTTTACATAGGAATCAGAGAAGTTGGGGGAGGGACATGAAGCTCAGGGGCTGGAGGAGTTGGGGGCAGGGAGGTGCCTGCTGGGATGACTTGTGAGTAGGGATTGAGGGAACCTGGAGGCCAGAGCCTGCTACATAATATAGGCTCCTCAGTTAGCCATTTGTCCTGAGTTTGAGACCTAACACACACACACACACACACACACACACACGCACGCACACACACACACACCAGTGCAGCCTCAGAGACAAGCTCCAGAACAAACTCTTTCGACATCGGTCTGGGTCTGGAGAATTCCTTTCCCGTTCCCACCCTCTGCCAGAGGCCCCATGAATCACCACTCCCAAAAGGCCGAAACTGTCAAGTAGAGGGAAGGGATTCGGGGCTACCACAGACAGAGGAAGCGGAGGGCCCATTCACCGATTTCAGAGGGGTTGCCACACAACTGAAATGACATCACGACGTGACCAGGATGCTCGTTATCACCGTCATCACCGGCTCCTCCGTTTGTCCAAGGGAACTGTCCTGTGACTCCACCCTAAGCCACCCAGGCCACCTGAGCTAAAAAGGTTCCTGGTCTAACTCTGTCTTGCTCTGTAGAGAGTGGACCCCCGCCAGCCTCTCCAAGATCCAGTTGGCCGTCCCATCATGCATCTGTCCGGTCTTAAACATGCCACAGGGGAAGCCACATTTTGTGACGACATCCCCAGAGTGGATGAGGAACTTTTCATGGCTTTGGTGACCAGTACCAGGGCTCATGCAAGAATCATGTAAGTAAAGGAAGACTTTTCAAGATGCTTTTAAAGGTCTACCTGGGGGTCGCCTCAACTGTGCCCTCTTCTGCAGTGAATGCCCTGACCCAGAGAGCCCCACAGGAGGAAGAGAGCATATCTAGAAATGACCGTGGGGGTGATGGGGGAGTACAGGGGGCTGCAGACATAATGTGCAAAGCCTGGGGTTCGGTCCCAGCACCATATAAAGCCAGTGCAGCTGTAAACCCTGTAATCCCAGCAGGTAGAGGCAAGAGGATCAGGAGTTCAAGATCCTCCTCACTTACATAGCTAAGTCCAACCCCAGGACTACATGAGACTGTCACACACACACACACACACACACACACACACACACACACACACACACACCCCAAAAAGTTATGGTTCTTTTGTTTGCCTTCTAAGTCATAAAACCTCATGCCTGGCAGCCCCATGCATGGCTCAGAGCCACTCTGGTAATGCTGAAACACCAACTTCATGATTGAATAGGAAACAAATTCTGCCCCATGCTTCCAAAGTCTTGTCTCCACACCCCTCTTCGGCAGCTAAGTGTTACCTCCTGGCTCTGCAGCAGGTCTCCCAGATTCTACTCCATGACGGTCCATGCTGGTTGCTCAGGCTAGATACATTGTTCCATGCTTTTATTTTCAACGATACTAGATTCTACTTCATGACTGGTCCACGCTGGTTGCTCAGGCTCGATACATTGTTCCATGTTTTCATTTTCAACAATACTCTATGCCTTCCTTTGGCTTGGAGGCCCCTCAAAGTTTGCTGATGTCTCCTTCTTAATCATCTCCTTATCTTCAGCTCCATCGACTCATCTGAGGCCTTTGCCCTACCTGGCGTGGTTGATGTGATAACAGCAGAGGACATTCCGGGTGCCAACGGTGCCGACGATGACAAGTTATTGGCTGTAGATGAGGTAGGAGTGGGACACGTTTCCCCAGACACCCGTGCAAATTGTCACCCCAGGACTCCTGGCAGTCAACTGCCCTTGTCTCCCGGCTTTTTCTACTACTGAGATGCAGAAGTACCAGGGCCCTGGCTCCTCTCTACCTCGATGCCTTTATCAACCTTGCCTTTCGGAAGTTAGGAAATAACATATTAAACAAAAATGCATCGTAAATCTGATTTAGCCACTATGTGCTTTGGGGTTTCTTTACTTGATAAGGAGTTGATCCTGTCAGGATAGAATGCTCTAGAAAGATCTAGAAAGGAGGAGAGGGAACCAGAGCCACACCCTCTTATTTATATGGAACTCTAACCAGGTCTTATTCTCCTTCACTCAGTTTCTATTAAGTTGTCTTGGCTGTCGCTGGCCTTGTAATTCCAATTCGACAATCATTTACTGAACCCCCCCCCCCGACTTAGAGCCAGAGCGCCTCGGCTTCTGTTCCAGCATTTCCAACTTCTGTGTATCCTTAGGGACCACCATGTTCAAAGGAGGAATGATCATAGCGTGCTTCACCGTAGCACAGGAGTTAGACAAGTGAATACCCAGGTACCTAGCACAGAGGTTGACTATGAAGACTCTCACTGAGTTCTGCCTTCTCTCACATCTCAGTGAATTCCACACACTTTCTCCTCCCGTTGTGAAGATCGGTGGGGTCTTCTGTTTTGTTTGGTTGGGTTGTTTTTTGTTTTTTTGGTGTTTTGTTTTGTTTTTTAATCCACCAGAAGAGGTTGACTGTCATTTATTAGTCTATTGGGGCTCCCATAATAAAACTGTCTAAACATGGGGCTGGAGAGATGGCTCAGTGCTTAAGAGCACCAGCTGCTCTTCCAGAAGACCTAAGTTCGATTCCCGGCACCCACAAAGCAGTTCACAACCATCTATAACTACTGTTCCCCAGTATCCAGTGCCCTCTGCTGGCCTCTGTGGGTACTACATACATGGGATATTGACATGCAGGCAAAATACCCACACACATAAGATAAAAATAAATAAATCTCAAAAAAATCTTCCTTTTTATTATTATTATTAAATTTATACCCAAGTACATATGACTCCACTGTGGCTATTTCCATTCAACAAGGACATGGAAGATGCCAGACCCTGGTGAGGTTGAGTCTGGCTTCTGTTCTCTTCACTTTAAAATTATTTAAATTAGTTCCTTTATCGTGATCATGGTGTGGAGTGTGAGAGGCCTGGCGGCCAATGTGGTGGTCAGAGGACAGCTTTATGGGGGTGTGTCTCTCTCCACCTACCTTTACATGGGCTCCAGGGATTGAACTCGTGTCTCCAAGCCTCTACGGCAAGCACCATTGCACACTGAGCCGCCTCCCTGTCCTCTCTCTGCTTCCTGACATACTTTACAGGTGCTCTGTGTGGGCCAGATCATCTGTGCCGTGGTTGCAGAGACCGATGTGCAGGCAAAACGAGCAACCGAGAAGATAAAAATCACCTACGAGGATCTGGAACCTGTGATTTTCACCATTGAGGTAGGTGGGGCTGGTCAGTCTCCCTTTGGAATGGGAAAGTTGGGCTGGAGAGATGGTTCGGTGGTTAAGAGCAAGAGCGCCCAGATTCTCTCCCCAGCACCCACATGATGGCTCGCAACCATTTCTAACTCCAGCTCCAGGGGTTCTGACACCGACTTCTGGCCTCTGCAGACTTCAAGCACATATGTAGTACATAGACATATATACAGGCAGACACTCATACACATAAGGTAAAGATAAATCTTTTTTTAAAAAAAAAGAGTGTAAGGTCAAAAACTTGCTCTGGAAAAATCATTTTGCTCTGGAAGACATTACTTGTATGAGATGAAATTACCTTTGGCTCCAAAACACAGGAAATAACAATCAGAATAGAAGTTTCTCTCTCACATTCAAAAGCCTAGAAGTAACCAGGCCTAGTGGGAGAGGCCTGTGATTCTGGCTGTGTGGCCTGTGATTCTGACTGTGCAGCCTGCTGCGCCAGACGAATCGCACCCAGGCAACAAAATGTAAGAAGAAAGCTGAGTGTTTGCCTCCTGACGAAAGACAAAAGACTAGACGTATCAGTGCAAGGCTTATATGGGATGATAGTCTGCTTCTATACTTCATACAGTATGTTCTGTGCCGATATACAGAATCCCCAAGACTGGGTAATGTATAAGAAACGGGGATTTATTTTGTCGTGATGCTGGTGTCTGAGAAGGCCCCGAACGGAAGACTTGCATCTAAGCCTGCATGATTTCAGGAAAGTGGGAGGGAAAGAGAGTAAGAACGAGAGAGAAACTTACTTTCAAAACAAAGCTATGGTTATTACAATAACCCGTCCATGAGAGCAAAGTACCCCATGACCTAATCACCCCCAAAAGCCCCACCTCTCGAGTCTGTGGCCCTGGGAGTTAGGATGGGACCCAAGTCAAAGCTTGTGAGCTGTGTGTCAGGATTCAGACTCTTCTACCCGACCTCTCTGTAACACTTGGTTTCCATCCTGCAAGCCACAGGTTTTTCTAAAACAGCTACTGAGGCTTCGGCCGTTAAATCCACGCTCCAGGCAGTAAAAGGAATGAGAACAGGGTGCCCCTAATGCCTTGAAGAACATTTCCCAGACAGGGCATGGGAGCAAATGTCTTTGATCCCAGCATTTGGACAGCAACGGTAGGCAGATCTCTCTGTGAGCTAGACATCAGCCCAGTCTACATAGCAAGTTCCAGAAGAGCCAGGGCTACAAAGAGAGACAGTTTCCAAAAACTAAAAAGTAAAAATAAAATTAAAAAAAGATCATTTCCCGGTCCTTACAGGGAGGTGTGTCTGTCCATTGCACACGTCTTTCTGTTTCATTGGCTAAAAGTCCAGCATCTGTCATACCTAAGGCCGAGAAAGAGCGCTAGGAAGCACAATCAATTCCAGGTGGCTTTGTCAATTCCAAAGACGTGGGACCCTGTGCCTGGAGGAGGGTGATGAGAGTGGATGTTGGGAACAATAATAAATTATTAGGATCAGTAATTTATTATAATCAATAATAAATGTGATGAGAATGTCAGGATAGAATTCTCTAGAAATTTCTGCTCTAATTCCTGGTTCTCGGGGATAGGATTCAAGTTACATTTCTGAAGAAAATAGTGGAGCAAGACTATAGAAAACCCAAGTGTGCACGGATGTGTTAGCTGTGCCATTGCCTTAACAAACGGTAAACACCTTGTAAAGATGAACGGGCTCTTTGGGCTCACAGCTTTTACAAGTTTTAATTCATGCTTTGCCGGGCAATACATTGTAACGGACACACATAGGTGAACAAAAGCACTCACCTCCTGTCTGGGACTAGAAAGGGAGAAAAGAGAGAGATCAGCTGGGCAGTGGTGGCGCATGCCTTTAATCCCAGCACCTGGAAGGCAGAGGCAGGTGGGTCTCTGTGAGTTCGAGGCCAGCCTGGTCTACAGAGCGAGTTCCAGAACAGGCTCCAAAGCCTCCCAGGTGACCTCATTTGTCCAGGATTCCACCATTCTCATGTTGGGACCAAGCTAAGGAGGAAGTGCCAAGCTGGGGGCTGAGCCTCTGACGCTGCACAGACCCAAACTATAGCAACTTGAACTTGCAGCCTCTAGCTCGGCAACAGCCAGATTCAGAGGATTCAGGATGAGGCAAAACAGCTCATTTCTGAGCTTGCCATATAGCACAGTTGACGTCCACAGGCCCCGGGGAACCATGGGAACAGGCTTAAAGGTAACTAAGTGGTACCAGCTTTTCAATGTACAGACTTAAGAAACCATGGTTCTTAGTCTTTCCGCACCAGGCCACCTCTGCTTCAGTTCCCACTTGACAAGTTTGACAGGAATGCAAGCTTTCTTGGCTTGCTTTCCTGCCTTGGCTTACACTAGAATCCTGACTCCTGACGTGGGTTTGTTGGTGGTGCTTTATTTTCATTTGAACTCTACTTTCCTGAATGGGTAATTGGCATCCAGAGGATACACCATCACTTATCCCAGGACTCAAACTATTTAGATATCTAAAGGTTCCTCAGAATAAGAGTGTCTAGAGTGAGCAGAAAAATTTTTTATGACCAAACACAGGATATAAAAGTCATGTATGCCAATAGTAAGTCTTCATCTATGCATTAACCTATTTACATGAATACTGATATAAATATGTGTTGCATATTATAGTGTGGTATATACAAGATACACATCATTAAAATTTATATAAATATAGCTGGGCGGTGGTGGCGCACGCCTTTAATCCCTGCACTCGGGAGGCAGAGGTAGGTGGATCTCTGTGAGTCTGAGACCAGCCTGGTCTAGAGAGAGAGTTTCAGGTCAGCCTCCAAGGCTACACAGAGAAACCCTGTCTTAAAAAAACTATATAAATATATTTATAAGAGAGAGAGTGTAGCATAGAGGTCCTAGATCCAAGCTGACAGATCTGAATTATGGCTGCTCCCCTTTTCCACATGTGTGATCTTAGGCAAGAAACTTACATGTGTGTACCACAGTTTTCTCACCTGTAAAAGGAGAGTAATGAGATGCACCTTTTCAAGTCCTCATAGCAGTAAATGCGTTGATGAATAAATAACAAAGCAGTCTCTGGCTCACAGTGCTCACTCCAGATAGCGCATCTCATCAGAGGGTCCAGTGTCTTTTGACACACTAATGTCATGGCAGTAGACATACTTCTGTGATTGCCACTGTAACTTATTGAGGTCAGAGTGTGTGCTGGATACTTTTATGTCAGCTTGATACAAGCCAGAGCTGTTGGAGAGGAGAGAGCCTTAATTAAGAGATGCCTCCACCTGTCTTTACTGGGCAGAAATAGAGGAGTGAATTGGGGAGATGGGAGCAGAGGGAGTGGGAGGAAGGGACTAGGAGAGAGAGGAGGGAGGGGAAACTGTGGCCAGGGTGTGGAATGGATAGATAGACAGACAGACAGACAGACAGAAGATAGGTTAGATGATAGGTAGGTAGATAGATAGATAGATAGATAGATAGATAGATAGATAGATAGATAGATGATAGAGAGATAGATAATTGATATATGATAGATAGGTAGATAGATAGATTAGATAGATGATTGATAGACTGATAGATGATAGATAGATAAGATAGATGGTAGATAGATAGATAGACAGATAGATGATAGATAGAGAGATAGATAATTGATATATGATAGATAGGTAGATAGATTAGATAGATGATTGATAGATGATAGATAGATAGATAGATAGATAAGATAGATGGTATATAGATAGATAGATGATAGATAGAGAGATAGATAATTGATATATGATAGATAGGTAGATAGATAGATAGATGATTGATAGATGATAGATAGATAGATAGATAGATAGATAGATAGATAGATAGATAGATAGATAGATAGATAGATAGATAAGATAGATGGTAGATAGATAGATAGATAGATAGATAGATAGATAGATAGATAGATAGATAGATAGATAAGATGCCCCCATAAATCAGAATGCAAGTGAGCCTGTAAGGCATTTTCTTAATTAGTGATTGATGTAGGAGAGCCCAGCCCATTGTGGGTGGTGCCATCCATCCCTGGGCTTGTGGTCCTGGGCTCCATAAGAAGGCAGGCTGAGTAAGCCATGGGGAGCAAGCCAGTAAGCAACACCCTTCCATGGCCTCTGCACAGCCCCTGCCTCCAGTTCCCACCTGTGTGAGTTCCTGTGAGGATGAACAGCCATGTGGAAGTAGGACCCAGATAAACCCTTTCTTCCCCCAACTTACTTTTGGTCATGGTGTCTCGTCACAGCAATAGTAACCCTAACTAAGACAAACTGTTAATTTAATTAAATTGGCAGGCCATGGTGGCACACTTTAATCCCAGCACTTGGGAGGCAGAAGCAGGTGGATCTCTGTGGGTTTGAGGCAAACCTGGTCCACAGAGTGAGTTCCAGGACAGCCAAGGCTACACAGAGAACCCTGTCTTGAAAAAAACAAAACCAAAAAAAAAAGTAAAACTCTCAAGTGTGGTGTTTCTTTTCCACTGCTTTAAGAAGTCAGGTAACGGTCCTTAGGAAAGATGTCTTCTTGTTTGCAGAGCACTGGGCCTTGTGTACACCAGGCCAGTGCTGTCAGTGGGTCACTCCCCAACTGTAAGCAAGATGTTTCTAGAGACTAACCTGGGCTTGCCTGTTACCTGTCTCCCATATTTGCAGCCTGACTTTGAGGGTTATTTTCTCCTCTCTAAGCCCCATTTCTTCATCTTAAAAATAAAGGTTATAATAGAAGTAATGCAACTATATATGCATATATACTGCTATTGTGTAGTGTTTCTGTTGGGTGTGACATTATTTCTGGGGAAATGTGAACAGGCATCTACTCGTGCCAGACAGGGGCCCAACAACGACAGGCTGAAGTAATGATATCCCCGAAGTCCAGCTCTTTTCTTTTTTTTTGATTTATTTATTATGTACACTGTGTTCTGCCTGCATGTATACCTGCAGGCCAGTAGAGGGCACCAGATCTCATTACAGATGGCTGTGAGCCACCATGTGGGTTGCTGGAAATTAAACTCAGGACCTTTGGAATAGTAGCCGGTGCTCTTAACCACTGAGCCATCTGTCCAGCCCTGAAGTCCAACTCTTAAAGCAATGGATTTATAGGGGTTGCTGGCACATGAGGGTTGGCTTGTAGGAGCACCAGGAATGACTCAAAGGCAGCTGCCCCAAAGAAAGTCCTCCCTAGCATGGGTGATGGCTCAGAGAAGCTGGTCAGTTTCAGGGACTTCCTGGAACCTCTGTGTTATTTACTTCTTGAGTCTTTTTCTATTCTTCTTCTTCTTTTTTTTTAAGATTTATTATGTATACAGTGCTCTTCTTGCAGGCCAGAAGAGGGCACCAGATCTTATTATAAATGGCTGTGGACCACCATGTGGTTGCTGGGACCTGAACTCAAGTTGAGAAGAGGGTAGGAAATGGAACTGAATGGTTGTGAGCCACCATGTAGGTACTGGAAATTAAAACCAGATCCAGAAGAGCAGTCAGTGCTCTTAACTGCTGAGCCATCTCTCCAGTCACTACTCTTGAGTCCTTTGTTTAGTTTTTGCGTTTTGTTTTGTTGTGTTTTGAGACAGGGTATATATAGCTATGTAGTTCCAACTGTCCTGGAACTATGTAGACCAGGCTGACCTCGAACTCACGGAGATCCGCCTGCCTCTGCCTCCTGAGTGCTGGGATTAAAGGCATGTGCCACTACCACCTGGCCAGTATGATTTCTTGAGTCCTTTGTTTTATTTTGTTTTGTTCTGAGAAAAAGGTCTAGAAGAAAGACAAAGGTCTAGAAAGGCCCTGTTGAAATATGTCACATACCCAAAGGGATGACAATGTGACTGTCCTACCCCTATCAGAGCGCCTCAGCCTTCTCAAAATCCTGAGGGAAGAAGAGGCTCCTGCACATAGCTACCTAAGTATCTCTGGGAGAAGTGGAAAAGGGGAGCTCAAAGCCTCCCTTTCTGGCACCTCACACTGCATCTGCCATCCCGAACCACCCCTCTGAGTCTAGACCTCAGTTCTGAACACGCTTCCTTCTTGATGCTTTCTTCTTCCTTCTGGGCTGATTTCTGCACATGTGGAAGACATTCCTTCCGATATCTTGTCTACTCTGGAGCTCTTCAATGCTTTGGCACCTTTGCTTTGTCCCACAAGACAACAATACGGGGAGTGTATTAGCAGCCAGCAGCAAAAATAAAAGGATGACTGGCTTCGTGTTTTCGTCCTTTTACGTAGGATGCCATAAAACACAATTCGTTCCTGTGCCCTGAAAAGAAGCTCGAACAAGGGAACATCGAGGAAGCGTTTGAAAACGTGGATCAGATAGTTGAAGGTAAACAGTCCGGTAAACATTCCTAGGTCATTCCTTGATTCCATTCGGAACCAGCCATCAAGCGCATATGATTGCTCCTTGGGAGGCTTGCCCCCAGAAGTCCCGGAGCTTCCCCAAACTTAGACTCCTTCTCAGAACCCCCGTGCATCCGTGCCCCGGTGTATCCATGCTGTCTCTGGAGGTGAGAAACCAGTAACAGACTAAGTAGGAGAAAATTCCTTAGTTTGATTCGTCAAGGGCAGAGCGATGAGACAGATCCCCTTGATTGTCATGAGGTAAAGGTTCCTCAGTGGGTAACGCTGCAGGCGGGCGGTTCACATTCCACTTCCGTGATGCCATGAGGCCCCATGATGGCAGCTTCCAACTAGCACGCACCTCCAGGCATGTCCCCACCCTTCCCAGGAGAGGTCCATGTTGGAGGGCAAGAACACTTCTACATGGAAACCCAGAGAGCGCTCGTTATCCCGAAGACAGAAGACCAGGAACTGGACGTGTACGTGTCCACCCAGGATCCAGCCCACGTGCAGGTAAGCTCCTGAGGTACCCCACCAGCGCCTGCCTACCACCACCGTGGCAGTCAATCTCCATAGCGAAGGTGGCCGCCATTGCACTAACAGAAACTTAGAATCTAAACGTTGGATATCTGTGGTGCAGCTAAGACCCCGAAGCCGTTTTAAATTTTTCCTGTTCTCATCAACAATAAAAAGAATGATCCTGAGGCCGAGAGGTGGTGGCGCACGCCTTTAATCCCAGCAGTTGGGAGGCAGAGACAGGCGCATCTCTGTGAGTTCGAGGCCAGCTTGGTCTACAGAGCGAGTTCCAGGACAGCGAATTTCATGCATACATACAACATATTTTGATTGCTTCGTCCCCCACTCCCCTCCAACTTACCTCAGACCTCCATCACATCCCCCCTTCTAAGTCCATGCTCTCTCTTTCTCTCTCTCTCTCTCTCTCTCTCTCTCTCTCTCTCATGACTCTCTTCCAGCAATGTCAGCTAGAGGTGGGGTCTCATGATCCCCTCGCCAGTCTATGTTGGAATTGTGATTGGCTTGTACTGGTAACTCATAACCACAGTATTCTTGACTACAACAGCTTTGTCACGTCCTGGAGACATAATTCTTATGAAAAAAAGCATCTCCTGTATTTCAGGATGTCCTTGAACTCACTAAGCAATCAAGGTTGATCTTAAACTTTCAAATATGCTGCCCCTCCGATCCCAAGCATTACAATGACAGACATTCAGGATTGTACAAGATTTGTACAGGGCTGGGGATCAGGCCCAGGTCTTCATGAATACTAGGCAAGTTCATGCCCAGTTCGAGTGTGATCACCTCAAATTAAAACCCTAAATTTATTTGCGTTAGATTTAGACGTCACCCTGATTGGGTGACGTCACTAAATTTTTCCTATGCTCCATTTTGTTATCCAAAACAACCATTGTAGACAATTTCTAGAGTCAAGAGATCACGTTAGACCACATTTTCCTTCCCAGATGGAAAATGCTCTAAGCTTCAGTCACAAACTCACCACCCTCTTTAGTAGGATGTCTGGAGTCTACTGTTTTTGCCTTTTTGGATCCTCAGGCCCAGACATTTGACCAGACGTGCAGCTTCCAATAAGAACCCAGGATTTGATGGTTTTCTTTCTAGTTAATACGGTATCTACTCAAAGAGTTGTTTGGCCCAGAGATGGGAGTGGTGGTGGCACTCACCTTGGTGGATCTCTGAGTTCAAGGCCAGCCTGGTCTACAGAGGGAGTTCCCAGGACGGCCAGGGAAACACAGAGAAACCTGTCTTTAAAAAAAAAATCGCCGGGTGGTAGTGACACACTCCTTTAATCCCAGCACTCGGGAGGCAGAGGCAGGCGGATCTCTGTGAGTTCGAGGCCAGCCTGGTCTACAAGAGCTAGTTCCAGGACAGGCTCCAAAGCTACAGAGAAACCCTGTCTAGAAAACAAAACAAAGCAAAACAAAAATCACTGAAGGGGAAGGAGAAAGAAAGAAAGGAAGGAAAGGAAGGAAGGACGGGGGAGGGGCAGGGAGAAAGAGGAGGAGAGAGGGAAAGGAAGGAAGGAAGGAAGGAAAGAGAGAGAGGGAGGGAGGGAGGAAGGAAGGAAGGAAGGAAGGAAGGAAGGAAGGAAGGAAGAAAGAAAGAAAGAAAGAAAGAAAGAAAGAAAGAAAGAAAGAAAGAAAAGAAGGAAGGAAAAGGGAAGAAATGAGCGGATTCTGTCGTCTCCGCTCCCCTACTGTAGCAGATGTGATTGGCTGCTGCCACGTAGCTCTAGTTCAAAAACCGGAACACTTTGCCGTTATTTTTCTCTAAACCTCCTTGTCTCTCACAGAAAACAGTGTCCTCTACCTTAAACATCCCCAGCAACAAGATCACCTGCCACGTGAAACGCGTGGGCGGAGGTTTTGGAGGAAAAGTGGGGAGACCAGCTGTGTTCGGGGCAATTGCTGCGGTGGGGGCTGTCAAGTAAGTCTACCTGAGGAGCCGGAAGTGTGGGAGGGGCTGAGTTTAGAGGAAATCAACTCCTGCCGCAGGCGGAGCCGTTGGTCCCTAAGCGATGCAGGCCCCCGTCTGTTTCCTGACAATACATAAATATTGCACACCTGCCCAGCTACCTTCTTTGGCTTTGCAAAAGTCTACTGAATGCATGACTTTGAGGAAGGCAGAAAGGTGGGGTAGTTGATCGACTTCTTCCAGAACTGCAGGGTCAATTCCTGAGAATTTGGGGAAAGATGAATCGCTTAGATGTGGGGCGTGATGCCCTTCCCCAGTTCATCATGGCCCCCTAACTCTCTTTGCTGCTTCCAGCCCAGAGTAGGGTGGAGTGAGGACAAAAGGCTTTTCACCCTGCACCAGCTCCACGCATACTCTCTCAGTGGACAGGTGGGCTTCGGGCTGATCTCAGGGAGGATTCACATTTTTGCTATCCATGGCTCAGCATTTAAGTTTAGCTAGCAGTGAAGGTTCAGGTCCTTGTTCATTGTCTTTGACTGGGTGCGTTGTCAGTGTTTGAGAACAAAGAGAAGAAGGAACAGGAGGGGGAAGAAGGGAGGGAGAAGGAGAGAGAAGAAAGGGAAAGGGAAGGAGAGGAGAGGAGAAGAATTAGAGGAGGGGAAGGAGAAGAGAAGGAGTAGGGGTGGGGTAAGGAGCAGGAGGGAGAAGAAAGGGGAGGGGAAGGAGAAGAGAAGAAAGGGGAAGGGAAGGAGAGGAGAAGGAGTAGGGGT